AAAAAAAAAAGGAGAAAAATAGCAAACAGATTTCTTGTAAAGTTTGCTAGTCGAATGATAACATTTCCCTACCACCAATATTTCTCGTCTTTTTAACGGAATTTATTCTGATTACATTTTGCATTGTTTGTTTCGTCTACTGCCTTCGTTTTAGTGTTATCTTCAAGAATACAAAGAATTTTTTTTTTAGGCTTTTCTTATTGTTGGTGATGTACAAAGTCGGACATAGTTCTGTACCCCGTTCAGCAACTCTGGTTTATAATTATCGTAATGTTACGTCAAGGTCTGATATATGTAAGGGTCTTTATTAATATAAATTTTTTTTCTGTTTCACAGAATGAAACTAAAGTTGTTTTTTTTCAACTTTGTTTTGAGTATCTAAGAAATGATCATATTTGATACTATCTGTGAGAGAACAGAAAGTGACATTTTCAGTATTTGTTTCTGATTTCTAATAGTTATTGTTGACTAATTTGTCAGTTTAATTTTAGATGACAAGCACTCTTTGGACCAATTTTTGGTAGAAGATTCCCCATGCAAGCTGCAGATGTAAGAAACTTGTTCTATACGCAGCTTATTCCCTAGTAATGTGTTGTTCAGTGGCTGTCTAAAAAACCACTTAAGTTACTGTTTTTTTTTTTTTCAGGGAACTACCTCTTCCTGTATTCTCTAATAAGTCTCGTCGAAACACTATCCCTGTTAAGAAGGAACAAGCCGACTCAGAAACTGTAGAGTATTTGAATAGCAGTATGTTAATTACTTTTTCTTCTATTAATTCTAGTGGTTTTAGCTGAAATACTACTCGATGATGTGGAGATTTTTGCCTGGCTTAAATGATAAAATAGAACAAAGATCTACTTGAGTTCTGCTACTTAATTCTAATTTGTATTACTGCTTCAGCTTGGAAGGCTTTTATGATGAGGGATGGCGTGCCGGATGATAGCATCGTTTGCTTCCAACCAAAGAAGGATGAACGCTACAAAGGTTTTCGCTTTAATTTCCGCTTCAAATAAGGCGCGAGACTTGGTTTTTAATGTTTTATGTTTTCAAAAATCTGTTGTTTTTAGACTTTGTTCCGTTTGATGTGGAGAAGTATCATGCGGAACGTCTTCTGAAAGCTATTGATCTGGATCCTAAACTTGTCAATGGATTCTTTTAAAGTGGGTAATTGCACGCAAGCGTAATAGTCTCCTGGTTATTGACACACAGTAGTTGCGTTAGATATTAAGAACGAACAATTTAAAGTTTAGTTTCTATCTTTATCTGAGTGATGTCATTTTTGTTGACTTCTTATTGTTCTTTGTGTTTTTCGTTTGACTGCTCAGTTATTTCTGTTTACTGTTTCATCTGTAACCAGTAATTGATTTCCGTGACTGGGAATGACTTGTGACATTGGGTAAATGGCTTGTTTTATACTTGTATTTTCCAAATGTTGTTTAATTTGTTACTTTATTGCTTCAAATATTGAGTGGTCAAAATAATTATTGTACTTGCGTGCCTTGTTTTTCTTTTCTTAGTTAGAATTTTGTACTTTGTTTATCACTGTCGCTTTCAGGGCTTCTTATTTGATGCCCGTGGCAACAGTTGGCACTTAGGTAGATTAGTGCATTTACAGGTAATTATTTACATTACTTTTTTTCTAAATTTTTTTATCAAATTTACCAGCTTTAGTTTGTTCTAAGAATCTTTTTGGATGCGCTGCTCCTCGTTGCAGAATTGTTTTGCCAACAACTTGGGATGTATATAACGTTGTGTTCATTTCTGTTGCTTGAAATCGTCACCTGCGTGTTATTTTTGCGTTCGATTTTTTGTTTTTCTTTCTTGTTATACTTATAATTGAAAGGTCGGAAGATGGTCAGTAGATGGTAGTTTCACTTTTTCAAAGTCTTGTGCTTTTTGCTGTGTAGGAAGATTAGGTGTGTATTTTGTCGAATTAAT